CTCGAGCTTCGTCAACTAATATTTCTTACCTGACAAAAACAAGATTTAACACTTTTGACTTAAGTTATGGGTCAAATCAAAAGTCACCTCCCAAATGTGGTTTTAACAAAGGTCAAAATGGACACATTTTCAGTATTCAGCAAATATTTCTGTTACCTTGAAATGCTTTAGCAGATGTGTTTGCAGTGCTGTGAGGAAGCATAGCCTGGTGAGATCTGTGCTCATGTTTGATCTGCCCCAAATATAAAAAAAATAATTATGAAGTGAATACCAAGAGATCAAAGAGACGGAAAACAGACWAACTTTTTCATCTGASTAAAAATAGATACCATCCAGTGAGAGTTGTCTCCAWCAAAGTGTCTTTTTATTGTCTTGGTTGAGAGGACCTGTGTGAACTGTGAGGAAGAAGCATTATAGAGGGAWAGAGGAGAAACAAGGGATGCAGGGATGGTATGAATGTTGTTGTTGGATGAGACACGRGTCTCTGTCTGTGTTTGCTCGGGTTTTTCAGTCAGGCTCTGAGTTYACATTCAGACGGGCAATCCGGTGTCGGCGGATGTGGCTGAGCYAGTCTGCAATCTGCTTTGCTCCTTCTGGGGGGAATTCATAGAAACTCAGTGAACTTTGACAATCCTCTACCATCTTCTCCCCACTGCCAGCCTCCCAGTCTGTGATGGGAGGAGTGTGAGTAAAGCAGAGGAGAGCTATATTTGGAACAATTCAAGAGCTAAGAGATGACAAAAAAAGGAACTAATTTTTCATCCTATTGTTCCAGGTGTTCTTTGCTGTAATACTTTTGTCCCTCTCGTCTTCATCATTGCTTTCTATTTTYGTAGAAAGAACCTAATTTGAAGAGCAATGATGGTTTGTTTTCCATGTCTCCCCTGACCACCGTCTGCAGTTTGTTGATTCCTGCACAGCACTAATGATAAAAACAAAAACCACCATCGCTTCTCTGGACCAGAGGCATCTGAGAGTTTTCTCAAATGATAATGCGTTCCTGTTTGTGAGCGCTTCCCTCTAATTTTGAAGGGCCGCGCAGAAATATAGCCCTGAGACATTTTCTGCTAAAAGCCTTAGCTGAGTGCACTTAATTTCTGAGCAGGCAAAGTTGAATGAGGGCGAGCGTGCGTGCGTGCCTGCCTGCGTGCTGCCAGCAATAATAGACCCCAACGTAGGGTCCTCAGCGCCTGGGGGGACCTGATGAACAGTGTATGGTTTGCCCTGAACRCTGAGGTTTGTTTCCCCGTACCAGGGATGAGATGTTTTTTGCTGGCTTATTAGGACCTCTGATGGACTGTGCATGGCTGCGTGCTGACTCACCTCTGCATTTCTGTTCCGTACGCTCATGCATCACCTTCCTGTCAGTTGGATGTTGCAGGACAGGCAAACAGACACACTACACATGCCCTGTTTGTGTCTCTTCATTTATGTCCAGCTCTCTGTTATACATACTGTTCCACCCTCTGGTTTTTGTGTTTATATATCATAAAGGAAAAGGTAACTCTATTGGTTTGGTTATACTGCAAATAAGGTTTTAACAGTTTGTTGTTTTGACTTATTATTATGATGTTGATTTGACTAATTGTGAAGTATTGGCTACAAAGTAAAACTCTATTGAAATATTTTCCCTAACAGATTCAGAAATATAATGCTCAGGCTATTCTTTATTTAATTTTTCCAAAAGATTTTGTATACAGTACACATTTTTTAATAGTTAAATGAGTAATTTGGCCTTTTGTTTAAAAGGGACAAATCCTGCAAAATCCACCTTTTTAGCTTTCAAATTTTGTTGTGTACTTGGAGTCTCTAGGAGTGCAGAAAAGTTTAATTTCATTTTTCATGTGCTGCGTAGATATCTTCATATTCTGTTTGGGTCATGTTTTTCAACCTGTTTTCTAAACTATTACATCACAGCATTTGCGACGGAACAGACAAATGAGGTCTAGGCCTACCAACTTTCTTGTCATCTTCATTCGCCTCTGGCTTTGAGTCAGGCTCTGGCTCCAACATGCAGGGCTGGATTCAGAGTCAGATTCGAATTATTTTGATAAATTTACAACATTAAAAAATAAGGAAACAAAATTAAATGCTGCATTAAAAACCAGTATTTACAAAAAAAGGACTAGGCTGAGGCCAAGACTTATACTTACCTATCTTACTCGGAAACTCAGCAGTTCACAAAAAATGATTTATATTGTCCACATACATACGTACATACATACATACATACATACATACATCTAGTATTTTTATTTATACAATGTCTTTAAATTTTAAAGTATTACTTGGGGGTACCAGAAGCTCAAAACAAATATCAATAGCAACAGTTTGCGTTGTGT